TAGCACATATCACATAGTAAAATTTCTGATAGCCCTAGAGGTTTCAGCAACATAGGAGTTCATAATTTAATGCAGATGTTAGTGTGATTAGATGAATTGATGAAATTATGAATTTGTGCCTAACTTTTCAGCTTCTATTTCTTGAGGCCATCTTATAGGACAAAAATATTCTCTTAATAGGATATTTCCGTAGTAGAGTCCCAATTCAGCTGTACTTAAATTAATGGATATATTAGTTAACGAAATATAAATTTGCGCAGCAGTGTTAATAATGATGTACAAAACACCTCAAAATTCATGCATCTGGGTTAAAAAATCTCTCTGTCTTAGATTTGTAGTATCACAAGTGACCTCTGGCCCCCCTCCACTCTTTCTTCGTAAGTCATGCTAGCTAGAAACTTCTTTATGAAGATAAAAGACTTTCCTGGAACAGCGAAATTGGAGTTTTAAGAAAAACCATGTACTGCAAAGAACTGTAAAATTGCTTGTTTGTCAACGTGAGACCAATAGACAAACACTAATAGATCAGGTTATATGACTAATTCTTTCTTTTTGAGCTCTCTGCTGACTTGTTTGAAGGTTAGTAAAGGAAATCATATGCACAAATAATTAAAAAAATTAAATACAGAATCTGTTTTTAAATAAGAAAACATAAATAAAACCTTTATTTTTCAGAAAAGAACCTAAAGAACATATATAGAGGAATAAAGAATACAGTAAGTCTGAAATTGCTACGGCATTGAAATGTGTCCAAACAACTTAATAACATGGTTCGTCTCTTTTACAGTGTCTGTTACATGACTGGGTAGCTGCCTGCCTTTTTTCAACAGTAGTGAGTTGTTTTTTTGTTACAAACAGAAGATAATATTCAGTAACTAAAAAGGAAAAAAGTCTGTTGTAATGCAATACTGGGAATATTGCTATCAGTATAAACATTTTTTTCTCTTGATGTTTGTCAGGTGTATTGCTGCTGGCATACTACAGACTATACCTTGGCTTTTCTCATAGTGTGATCTTCTTTGTGTGATAAACTCTTTGAGAATTAAAAAAAAAAAAAAAAGGGTGAGAGCGAAGTGCGTGTCATACCGATGGATAGACCTTTCTGGTATGATGAGTAAATATTGCTGCAGGCTTATTTATCATTCGTTTAATTTGTTTGTAGGTAGGTGGTATATTAGTCCAGTTTGCTGCTTGCTGTTTTAACAGTATGTTATTTTAAAATTCTCATTTGCTGTAGCTAATATTTAAATTAATTAGTATTCAGTATGACAGTAAATGTATCTAATCATGAGCAAGAGGATTTAAAAAGATTAATAGAAACTCGCAGTGTTTTATTTCTTTAAACAATGTCAACTTAGACATATTTTGCTTTAGAGTTATTGCACCTGAAGTTATGTGTGTTTTATATACATGCAGCATAACTCACATCTGGAATAGGTAGTATTAACATAGCTTTAATCCTTACATTTCTTGTTTTGAGTCATGCACCACTGATCTGTTTTCTTGACCCATTCCGTTGAGTAACCTGCTATCTCTTTCCAGAACCAAAGTTTGCTGAAGCCATCACCACTGCCCTGATACAAAGGTTTAGCTTTTAAACAAGAATCATAAGAGCTACAGCTCTAGGTTGCAGAAAAAACAAACTTTTATGTAGTTCAAGCTCCAGCTTTGCCTGTTTTAAATCCTAGATGTGTCCAGCCTTAAGCACAAGCATCTGAAGTGGTTGCTTGGGGTCCCATGACTTGGTCCATTCTCACTGCTGTTTCTTCCCCACTTTTTACTGAGTTTTAGCTGCACTGCAGCAATTGCCCTCTGCAGAGAGATCTGTACCCAGAGCAGCTAATCTGCATTATATCACTTTTACGTCTGCTTTGTTTTATCCTGGGCTGTGCTTTGGACTACTGCAGGGCATGCCATTATTTTGTGAGGAAAAGTCAGATGAGAGGAGTCTTCAGTATTTTGGGCGTGGGGTCGTGGTGTCTAGGACTGGGAATGTGGGAATGCTGTAGGAAGGGGGGGATGGTCAGCAGTGCAGGGGCCTCAGTTTGGAGAGCTGGTATGGATTCGGAGGTTGGAGTCAGTGGGGTCAAAGGATTGAAATCTGGCTTGGGGAAGCATGGGGCATGCAGTAGGAGATGGAGGAGAGGGAGGCTGTATATAGATAGTTACATGGATTCTGAGGTTGTAGAGCACTGGTGAACTGTATTTTTAATACTCATAATAAAATTATTTTAAGATGCTCATTAATGTTGCTTGGAGGCAAGCAACTTTGTTTAAGGCTGGCTCTGACACTAAGCATTTTCTTTGGCATGCATAACATAAGTACTAGAGTAGCTAATAAATAGATAATTTAATAGGCCATCTTAATTTTGCAGCTTTGTTTTCATTCTTTGGCTGAATTGGAATGTCGGAGGATGGAATATGTACATTTTCACATGGTAAGAGATTTGTAAAGGGCAGGAGAAATTACTTAGTTTGTAAATTGTAAAAATGTACATACTGAAGAACATGGAAATTCTGTTTTTAAATAAATGATGAAGATAAATAGCCTTCAAAAACATAAGCTGTATGAGGAAAAAGGTATCTTGTAGCAAGAGTATAACACTTAAGAAATAAAATTTCTTAATATTTGCAGAAGTTCAGTGATTCATACCTGCGTTAGAATAGAGTTTTAACTTTCTGTTGTGATAGTGAAGGTGTTCAGCTTCCTGGACTGTGGCTTGTAGGTGTACTAATCACTGTGTGTTAAACTGCTGCTGGCAACCACTTCAAAGAGATTCACAGAGATATCACTTGCCTTAGTTCATTTTCACATCCAGAGGTTACGTTCTTACTTTTGCATGCTACCATGAAGGCAATCTCCACTTTGTGAATTCTGTATGGTAGTAGGATTTCTTAAAGTGTCTACTGCTTTTCCTTTAACATAATATTTGCTGCTGCTTATGTCTGTGAAATGGTTTTATTTCAAGGCACATGTGTTTACCATGGGAAGTAAACTGTTCTTGTGTATATGGAGTCAAACTTTTGTCTTCGTAAATATGGAATTATATCAATTCCTGAGCAACACTTCCCACTAAAATGAATTCGTTTTGCCTGAAAACTTACATCATATGACCTAAAGCATGAAGCAGAAAAGATCCTTTAAAAATTAAGAGAAATTCTGTAGTATTTAATACTACAGAAGGTTCAAACATATCCTCTTTCCACACCTGCTTTTGGATGGAGGGACCAGGAGTTGTGAAGACGGAAACCATCAATTCCAGAAGGAAATGTTCAGCAAATCTGAGACCATGTTATCTGCAATTAGCAAGGGAAATTTGTCATGGGTATAAAATTACTTCTGTGTAGTATCGTAGAGACAAATGTCTCTACGACACTACAGCCTCATCCAGGACTCGGATAACTCTGTTTTATGGTCCATATCATTTACCTATTTCATTCTGGTCTCATGCTTTTCTAAACATGATTTCTAAGGAATCTTCTGGATCTTTTCTGCGTGTCTAAATATGACATAGTGGGTTCCTGCTTCAGGATTGGGGTTACTGTATGTAAATAATAACATTTTTTCCCACTGTGTAGCTGAAGTTCCAGGGCCAGGAATCCCTTCATTAAGATTGCTTCAACCAACACGTGGATAAAGGGACATAAGTTTGATATAATGAATTCAAACATTTTGCCATTCTTCCAGAATCTTCCAATTCAGCTTGACTTTTCTTTCTTAGCTTTCTGGAATGTGTTATTTAAAACACCTAATTTGGATAACTAATGGAATATTTAGGGTGCAACATGTGTGAAGCCTCCCTTTCCCTATAACTATATTCATATTACCTTAGAATGATTTATCAGAGAAAAATAGGGGGGAAAAAAGGTTTAAAAGGAATGTTAAATCTTGTGGGTTTAGTGGTAGGGAAAAGATTAAGTACAAAGAGGTGGCGTAAGAGCTCAAAGCGAGTATAGAGGCAAGTGTGATGTGGATTTAAATTTTGACTTTCTTATTTCTTTTCTTCCAATCATGATCTTCCCATTTTACCTATTATGAAGAAAGACTGATGCATATACACACAACCGCAGAGTTAGAATTTAGTCCACAAAGCAGATAAGAAAAAAATTCTCACTATATTTGCTAGAAATCTTGTGATATCTGTCGGTGAAACAGCATATCTGAGAACAGAATTTGAATTGGACAGTTAAATTTTGTATTAATATAATTTAAATTTTCACATCTCTTCTTTCATGAAATGTTTGTTTCCTCATTTTGGAAAGCATTGTTTAGATACAGTCTAAAAATGATTTTAAATACCACATAATAATAAGGAAGGTGAATAAGGTATTTTTATGCTTGACTATGCTCCAGTTATAAAAAAAAATATGAAACAGAAAGCTGTTATAACAGTACTGAATTGCCACTCTTGAATTTTCTGTGTGCCGGAAATTTGAAAAGGTATTCCTTTCTAGGAACATTTCCAGACCTGTTAATGAAGTAGTGAATCAGCATGACATATACATGGGAATGCCAGACATTAGAGAAAGACACAGTAAGAGAGATTAGAGTGGAATTTAGGACTGCTCCTATCAAGAATGGGCTTTCCACTGGTGTGTTTGTAATGTTTAGCAGCAGTTAGCTCTTTCCAGTCCAATATTTACAGAACAATAGTGCCAGCCATGAGCTGGCCCAGCAGTTCAGTATTCTAGATGATGTACAATGCACATCCAATGTATTTTACCAACATTAGTTAGCAATATTCACAGCTGGAATAAGATTACAGTGTCAAGGAAATTATATGATATTAATTAACTGTAAAAAGTGTGTACTCTTGCCACAGAATTTTAGTTAGTATGCCCTTCTATTTTTTGTTTAACAAGACCAGATGTCTTTAAAGCTTTGAGTATTTCTTTTATGTGTCTATACCTATGTTAAAAAAAATTTAACTGTTTTCTATGTATGTGTGTATTGCATACTTCTGTTTTGTAGTAATCAGTGTAATTATCTCTTTCTCTAGGGGTTGATCTCCAGGTTTGTACTTCTAAAAATCCAACATGCTGTACCAAAAAGATGGAAGAACGATATCAGACTGCAGCAAAGCAAGATATAGAGCAAGTGCTTCAAACATCAAGTGCTACATTAAAATTTTTAATATCTCATAATGCAGCTGCTTTTCAAGGTAAGGCTTTCCGCTTTTTGTTTCCAAACTTGTTCATACTTTTCTTGATTTGCATCTTTGATTAGTTTATGCATGTAATAAAAGTTATCTGTTAATTTTTAGCTTGTGCCTATGCTTTTATGCTTTCAAAGAAGGAGTATTAAATCATGCAGGTGATTAGAAACTGCATTGCTTTTGGAATTTGTGACTTCTAAAAAATGATATTTGAGAAAAAATAAGAAATTTCTTTGATTTAAATTGTAAACCAGTAACTTGGCATTCCTCTTGAACTTCTTGAATTTGGATGATCCTAATATACAAAATTACTGCCTGCAAGTGTTACTAAAGAGATGATGTTATTCCAGTATTTCCGCCCACTGTGTTCGTTGTCTTGTTCTAATAGAAATACTTGTGTAGTTTGGTTTTGAGGTTCATTTTTTGGTTCTAGTTTTGTAAGCTTTTGAGTTTCTAAAAAAAATTTGAGTTTCTAAAAATAATTAAAAAAAAATTGGAGATTGTGACAGTTGCTCCAATGCACGATAGGAAGCTATGTGATAAATTAATAGTTATTTGGGCTGGTGGTGGGATTGCCTTTTAGCAATTACCCTGAATACTATTCAGTTTTCTCTGAATTAATAAGGCATAAGTTAATGCAGAAATTGGTTAGGAGCTGGGAAGATGTGAGAAATAGTGCCAATATGAGGCCGTATATGGTAGAAAGGGATATAGAGTTCACATGTGTTGAGGACAAAGCCCTACAGTCTTGTAATTTGTCTATTAATGTGTACTTATGGCCTTAATGACCACTTGGCTGGACAGGATAAGATCGTAACTTCTTACAGGCTTAGGAAGTTGTCCTTCTGGTGACTCTCGTTTTTAACCTGTGAAGCTAAAATGGTTAGCAGACTAGAGGTAAACAACTGCCTAGAGTCATAAAGTGTCCAGCAAAGTTGACTCTGGGGTCCTAAAGCCCTCCCTTTTTGAAATTTTGTCTGTCTAATGCTAAAAACAAGTTGCAGTTGCCCTCTACTTCTGGGAGCATTGCCATTTAGCCTGCCTGACACAGCTGTCAATGGGTGTCATGATCGGGAGATCATTGGTAAAATGTGCAAAGAAATCTCTCTCTCCCTCTCTTCTGCCTTCCCTCTTCCTTCCAACTTCCATATATTAGCTCTCTTTTTTGTACCATAATAGTATAATGTGTTGTATTGCTTTGCTGACCTAGGGCTGTAGACTCTGTAGAGCTCAGTAACCAACTGTACTTTTGTTAAGTGAGGGCTGTACTCTCTGCCTTGGTGTTTTAACACCTCCTCCTTTCCCCCACCCCTAGAAAAAAAACAAAACAACAATGCACAAAAAAACCCTTAGGTATCTAGATAACATACTTGTGCAATCCCAAGATTTCTCAGTCTTCACAAGACTGGGATTTAAGTCACATTTAAGTGAAGTTAAGTGAAATCAGGACCCAGAAAGTACATTTCTGTTGCTTTTATGTCCTGAGGGGCTCAGTCGGTGGGGTGTTTTCAGAGTGCATGCGGTGTACGTCTCCCCTGTAGGTGAGTCCTTCCTGAAAGACAGGGATACATGCATGCCTTTGAGGAGAAATGGTTGTACTTCCCTCAGGTACAATCTGAGCAGTTATTCAGGGTGTGGGTTCTAGGCCCTTCTCAGCTTGTAAAGATTCAAATTGTATCACCTGCCAGTCCAGGAGGATGCCCTAAACACCAGTTCAGAGGCTCATGTGTGACATATGCACTTTTCGCTTTCTCAGTAATGCCATTTTACAGCATAGAAAGGAATTCAAGAAGCACTGACCCAAAGAAAGGAGCCTGCCTCTGTAGCCTAGTGATGATAGGTCATCCCTATGGAGGGATGGTTTCAGGACTGCTTGAGAATTATAGTTTTTCATTTTTTTGGTGAAACGCGTGTAAGCAGTTCTTGTTGCAAAAAAAACAGGAATGCAAGCAGTCCTTCCCAAATATGTAGCATAACACTATTTACTTCTCCCACTGACTTTGTTTCATCATTTGCTCTTAAACAAATATTTTTCAAAGCATATACTTTGAAGTATATATATTTTATATGTATTTTTGAAGTACATGCTTTAGTACTTTTGTCTTTAATTTCCTTTTATGTAAAGAAGTATTTGGGCCAGTTCTGTTTAATAACTTTATCAATGATCTGGATGAGGGGATCGAGTGCACCGTCAGTCAGTTTGCAGACTACACCAAGTTGGATGGGAGTGGTGATCTACTTGAGGACAGGAGGGCTCTACAGAGGGGCCTGGACAGGCTGGATCGATGGGCTGAGGCCAATTGTATGAGATTCAACAAGGCCAAGTGCCGGCTCCTGCACTTGGGTCACACCCACCCCATGCAATGCTACAGGCTGGGGGAGGAGTGGCTGGAGAGCTGCCTGGTGGAAAAAGACCTGGGGGTGTTGGTTGAGAGCCAGCTGAATATGAGCCAGCAGTGTGCCCAGTTGGCCAAGAAGGCCACTAGTATCCTGGCTTGTATCAGGAACAGTGTGGCCAGCAGGACCAGGGAGGTGATAGTGCCCCTGTACTCGGCACTGGTGAGGCTGCACCTCGAGTACTGTGTTCAGTTTTGGGCCCCTCACTACAAGAAGGATGTTGAGGTACTAGAGCATGTCCAAAGAAGAGCAATGAAGCTGGTGAAGGTTCTAGAGCACAAGTCTTATGAGAAGCGGCTGAGGAAACTGGGGTTGTTTAGCCTGGAGAAAAGGAGGTTCAGGGGAGACCTTATTGCTCTCTACAACTACCTGAAAGGAGGTTGTAGCGAGGTGGGGTTGGTCTCTTCTCCCAAGTAACGAGCGATAGGACGAGAGGAAACGGCCTCAGGTTGAGCCAGGGGAGGTTTAGATTGCATATTAGGAAATACGTCTTCACCGAAAGGGTAGTCAGGCATTGGAACAGGCTGCCCAGGGAAGTGGTTGAGTCCCCGTCCCTGGAGGTATTTAAAAAACGTGTAGATGTGGTGCTTAGCGACATGGTTTATAGATTATGGTATTATTTAGATTTAAAACCTTGTTTAACCTTGAAGTAGTTATTTGTGGAAGAACATGCAGTTTAACATATCACTGATCTTTGAAGAATTCCTACCGTTGCTAGCTAAAATTCAAGTGAAATATTTTCAGATTCAGAAACCATAGAAAGAGGCTGCTGAAATTTTTTGGGTTTTGAACTCGAGGAACATACTAAGACATTATTGCTGGTCTGAATTCAGTTTTGACCCTGCTTTGAGCCGGAGTTTGGACTGGAAACCTCCTGAAGGTCCTTTCCAATCTGGATTACTGCAGATAGGGTGTAGAGTCTCTCTCAGTGTACACCACCAAATCTTTAGGCATTCCCTTTATGTTTAGCTGAGGCTGGGCTGTGCAGCTAGGAGTGCAATTACCTTTTCTGCTACTTTGGCAACTGGACAGACATCTCAGCAGTTACGCAGAAAGCATGAAGGGGATTGTTGGGGTTTGTACAGAGGGCAGCAGGTGTCGTGGACTTTGCCACTGTTGTCGCCTGCCTCTTTTTGAAGTTTGTTGAGGTTGGATGCTTTGTCCTAAAAGAGGTGGACTGGATCCAAACAGAACAAATAGCTAATGTTTTCTCTCAGTTTCTTACATATTCAGTAGAGAGAGGTAGGCAGTTAAAATAAGTATTCTGTGTCTGCCTCTGGAGGTCTTCAGAGGTGTGTTTTCTCTCTGTGTTAAATACAGTTTAGAGATCGTGAGTACTTCAGGATGACTAACTACTTTAGGATGACTGTGTTTGTGAAATGAGGCATCTGTCTGCCTGTCTATCTGTCTATTAACTGTATGTGTGTGCAGGTATCTTTATATGAAAGTAAATATAGGTATATATTGACATATCTTTATCACCTTCTAATGTTTGCTAAAATCCTGTGGTTCTATATTGTGTTAAGTGCTGCCTGCTGACAGTAACTCTCTATTGACAATTTTCAAATGTTGGAAAAATTCCATGTCTCTTAGGTCATGTCAAGCTACATGGTGCAAATTGCACCACTTGTGTACTGCTTCCTAGCAAGTACTGTTACAGATTTTCCTTACATTTCAGGGTATTTCAGTGTGTATTTTCTTTTTCACTGTGAATCTTGTTTCTGTTTAATACCTTTGAGGAGTGGTAAGGGTAGGTGAGAGTGAATTTAAATAAGATATTAATCTGGTAAGTGGGAGATATATTACGGATATATTACGGAGAGCAAGAAATCATTCTTCCCTTGGAAAAGGTGACTAGAGAACTTAAGCTATGATAATCATGTTTCAAGACAGTTATTTTGATAGGATAACATTCTTGCACATCTCTGCATTTTTAATATTTATTATCATAATAATAACTGAGAAAAAGATCGTGAATGCTGTACAGGGATTGCCATAACATCTCCATTCAAGTGGTAACCATGAAAATAAATGTTTTTTTAACCTTTATTTTATATGCTGTAGACCTATACACACATGCACACACACACGCTCCTTTTGCACAGTTCTTAGATGTTACTCAAAGTTCACACTGACCCTTGTTTATACCTCCAAACAAAAGAGGAGCAAGCGCCACCAGGGTCAGCCCTTGCATAGTCACAATGCAGTGCCGGTTTTTGTGTAGGGAAAAAAATCCCTATGGTTTGTAACAACTTGGAGAGGAATTGAATACTCATCTAAGAATCTCGTGATTTGGAGTGGGATGGAGCTCTGTGCAACAGAATAGCAGATATTGTGTCACTTAACTATTTTTCCACACAGAGAGCTCATAACCATTTAAAAAGTGGCAGTGTATGACATGGAACAAGATAGCAGCTTGTCTGGTTGAGTGGGAAATTCAGAGATAATAATGAGGTTTTAGAGTCTGAAAGCAAATGGACTTTTCTTTGTGCTACTATATTTGGCAACTCTAGCACTGTACAATTGATTTAAAAATATGGAACTGTGACTCATTTATGAATGTGGCAACCTGTCACCAAAACAGTGGACTTGGCAAGTATGCTTCTGTA